CTTAAGACATGGCTATTCCAACTTGCAGGACTGGCCTAGGGGAAAATTTTAATGGGGTTTTAAAGCAATTTTTAAATTAACTTGACCAAATTACTAATATTTGTTTTTACTTATGTTTTTAAATTTGTAGTTTTTGGGGATTAGTGTTTTATCTGGTTGTTAGCCGCCCTGAGTCCGTAAGGAGAAGGGCGAGATATAAATTAAATTAATTAATAAATAAATAAATAAATAAATTATTGTCCACGCTGAAAAATAGAGTAATGAAAAGGAACATAATAGAGTTCTGCTAGATTATATCATAGTTATGCCCATATCAGCATCCTATTTTTGCAGGCAAGTGCTCCAAGACAATCTCCCATCTCGCCCACAGCATCCAGTAATGAGAAATGTTCTGCTTCTGAGTTGGGAATTCCTTTAAGTTATTGGGCTAACAATAAGGGAGAATTCTAGTCTCTCTAAAGGTGGCGCATTTTAGGAAAGAAAATCCGACCAATTCATTGCACCATGTGGTAAAGTAGTTTTGAACAGTACTGATTGTCCCTCATTGCAATTAGATGCCCCTAAGTAATTTGGGAGGGAAATGTCCATTTTTTTCTATCTCACATAGAATTAACTATTTCTGTCCTTCTCCAGTTCAACAAAAAGTTGCAATGCTTTCACCTTTCCAACACAAAAAAGGACAACTCTTTTATCAAGTTGGCATGGTGCAGGGACATCTCATAAAAACCCCCAAGTCAGTTAATATATGTCCAAACTATTTTTGCTGAATAAAAAGTAAATACACCATTATATTAATTGGGATAACTTCTGCCGGTTCTGTATTTATACACAATGCGCACCAGCATCTAAATTTCTGTAGATACCCATAATTAAACTCCAGCACATCTTTTTTTTAAATGACAGAAAGTGATTATTTTAGATAAAAGATGGTTTTTTTAGGTGGAACCAAAGATGGACACTTAACAGGAACACCCAGATGAACTGGAGATAAAACTACTTAAGACTAGATCCATGTCTATCTATATGGGAATAAATTCTACTAAACCTGAGATTATCTGGGAGGGAGGGAAATGCAACAAGTGATAGATGGTCCTGAAATCAGCCAATTCCAGCCCTTGTTATTTGCACATGGAATACCTTATTCAGAAATTAATCTTAAGCACAGACGCAGTTTGTTAGATTCATGTTCCTAAAGAGCCACCATCCACTCTTGTGTAGGAATGTGAGCTTGGATGGCATTGTGGCTTCATTATGAGTAGTCACATTCAACCACGATAGCCAGGATTTACGTATCAAAGATGACCACCATCCAACTCTTTCAGCAATACCCTGAAATTAAAATTGTTTGGATGCAATTGTGCTGACCTGAGACTTAGCCAATGCAAAGCAACCTTCATAAGTTTTTGAGCAGATAAACTCAAACATTTAGAATTTTCTACTAGTGATTACTATGTCTTCAAAAGTGCTATAATGGAGATTTGCATACATCATAAAGTAGTTTCTCTGTGAAAAAAAGTCAGTGAAATGAGTGAAAAAAATCAACACGTGCCCAACTCACAATTCGGTAACAAATCTTTCATCAAACCTATCATTTCACATTTTTCAAGATTTTTTACATTATGATCTGGGCACATGATGAAACTACAAAGTCATTTATCATGTGTATATATATATATACACACATATATGTATATGTATATATGTATATAT